CGGCTCTGTGCGTGTTTTGTGCAGGGGGGGGGGCAAGGAGCGGTGCGGTGTTTCGCAAGCGCAGATGCAGCACAACCTTCCATAGTGCGGCTAAGCAACATCGTTGTTTGAAGAAACGAGCCGTTTGCTTTCTCAAAAGCATAAACTGGAGATTACAGATTGCTATTCCCAAACTCTGAAAAAGGGAAGTAGTAGGAGAGCCGGAAGCACCGTTTTGGAGCCTATCCGATTGAAAGGACACCTCAGTATGGTTGCATTCGAGTTCGGCATGGGTTTTAGTGTCTAGTGATGCTTTATTCATTACAACCTAGGATTCACCGAGGCGGTGATTGAAACTGAAGGTTGCTGTTTTGTGATCATCCCAACCACACGCGCAGCCATTTTTTAGAGCTCATTCACAACAGCAATTGGAGGGGCTAGCATCTCAAGCTGGCAGAGCAGTACAGTCGTTTGGATTGCCGTCGGAATTGCTTCTCCCTACGTAGTTGCCAAACGTGGAATGTCCTAACGGAATCTGTCATCTGTCCTCCCATGCTGGTAGAGTTCAACGCCAGAGTCGACCGTGCACTCATTTCGCTGTACCATCTCACATGACTCATTGCTCATGATCAAACACGAATGCTTGTTAGAGATTTCACTGACAGTCAGCTCTCAGAATACGTTCCAACTTTTCCACCTGCTGTATGGGTTCACCAGGCGGCACGATTTTTACCAACGTCCCATTTGTCGTCATTCTTTATGGACCTATGAATTTACAATTGATAATACGTATACGGCGGTGAGCGCACCGGTGAACATAGTTAGCGGCGCGTTTAAATCGGCCGTTGCCTTTATCACCGAAGCTCATTATTACATTATCTACTGTAGATATATCAGTTTTGCACGAATAAGCTGACAGATATTTGGTTCCATCAAATTCCAAGACGTGAGATATCGCGCACGATGCACGATCTTTGGATTTTGCGCTCGAAGTTTTACGTAAACTAAAACCGACTATGAACAAAGGTTTTAATGAAATCTTTTCCGTTTTCAATGAGTATGAATCCCGAGGATTTAGTCCAGTTTTTTGGGATCGTTGCTCGATCGAATTGTGACAGTGCATCCGCATTTTTCTACTCATTTGTAAACTTATCATTTTTAATGGTAACTCTTTGGCAAACTTAAAGTTGACAATGTAAAACGCTGAAAATGCAACTAGTGGAGTACATAAAGCTTATACTGACTGATTGACAGTTGACATTTTTCTGTTTTGCAATATTCATCATGACCATTCTGCAGGACCTGTTAAGCTTTAGCTTTTCTACCAGTATAAAAGCATTGCTTTCTTGTTTCATATCCACAGGCTGGCTGGCAGAACAACCACCTCGTGGTGCCAGTTGGGTGGTTCGGGTTTAAACCGTTCCAGCAAATAGTTCGGCGGCAGTGTTCCAGGACGTGGTGAGTTTTCGCTTGGCAAGCGTTCTCCCTATAAAAAGCCACAAAAGTTTGCTTATCAACTGCGATGTGGCGGACGTGACACGCCACAAACTAAAGTCACTGCCCCGTGGATATCCGAAAAATGCTATCCAACCCACGGACATCAATTGCTTATGCTCACATTCCTGACGATTACAAGCAGTCAAAAATGCTGCGGCACATTCACAAACAAGCTACACAGCTACACTCATACACAACTACACACGTACCTACATTCATACACACATTCACGGTCATGCCAAACATACATTTTTGTACATTTTTGATCGCACTATGTTAGCTTAACCTGATCATGCCTGTAAAGGTATACCATGCATTGTCGAGAATAATAGTTTATGTATGTATGTATTTATTTATTTATCTATATAAGATAATGGTTACCCTACTTTATTTCAGTTGAATCTCAGATGGCAACGAGGCTTTTACCAGTATTGGGAGTAAAAGTCGGAAACAAGGCAGCGGAAACGATTTGGAACACACTTTTCTGGGTGAATAACAGGTTGAATAGAGAAGAAACATCGGACGAGATTTGTAAAATATTCTGTAACTACTGCGGAAGTACTGTGTATGCCAGACAAGAAGAAAACTTGACACAGTACTAGACGAACTTATCTTCACCACTCTTCGACATGATGAGAATTCACTGAAGTTAATGAAAATAAACTAAGAACCATCAATTGGAGCTGGATAACTTCAGGATGATTGGGAGAGCAATCTATTGTGGTCTGGCAGCCAAACCGGAATTCGGTCAATAGACATTTGGAGCTAGAGGCTCTCCGTGAAGCGCTGCGGATTAAGTCACCAAGCAAGCTCAGATCAAGTAGTAAAGTTGATTACCTGGTCAATTCACATGAGTTCATCGAACACTAACATTCAAAGGAGTTATCGATTCGGCCGCAATGCTGATGTCGCCTAACCTGGCAGCGAAATATCTATGGCTAATACATCTGTCACAGTTAAGCATTTGCGGAACTAACGCACAGCGGCTGGCTCTTAGCCGAAGTATCACTAAGCAAAACACGTCAGGCACATGAAAGGCAAAATTGTATTCTAACCGGCATGCACTACAACGCTTTGATCCACCATTCTAAACTAGGCCAATCGATAAATGGGTGAGCGGGTTACTGACAGACGCCAGCGAATGCAGCACTCATTACATTGGCCGTGAGGATGCCAAACCGTCCAGCTTAGAAAGCTACCCAAAACCTTCATCCATACCCAAAGACCTATATGTAGTTGTAAAGTCCGTAAGTACTTTAATCTCTTATACAAGTTAGATTATTTCTGCTTGACGACGCAGCATAACCATTCACACCCAGGTCCCCTATTTCAAGCCAATGACTCATTTTGCGCGGTCTAGAAGACTGCATTGTCAAACATCAAACGTCGTCACTCCAATTCATGAACGCATAATGTTTCGGAGTCAAACAGTTTTATCCTAATCGATTTTCACAAAATCGATTCCCATTCAGATTCTTCCGAGATATTTACCCTGATCGGTTAACTGATAACCTGTTACGCAATATTAGGCGGACTATAATGGCCGCACGTTACAACCTTATCCGTGAGCTCTGCCTTATATAGTATCTTGCTTTCGAAAACCATGGTTACAGAGAATATACTATGATTCTCATGAGTTCAGAAGATTTGGAATAAACATTACAGAATCAGCAAAATCGAAGCTATCTGAAACTGAACGGCATATGGCGCATATAAATCCGCCCTAGACGATCTCGGCCGTGATGAACGTGTCCGGTTTATCCAGTATGTGCGCAACGTGACCTCCAAGCATACATCCAAAAAGAGATTAGTTCTGCAGAAAACACTGACCTTGAACGAATGTCCGAACACGTTTCCATCAAATCCGGAAAGATATGTACACCACCCGTCCAGTATACCACTAGACACCTTACAAATACAGGCGCTTTCATTGGGCATCCACGAAGTAGTGATCATCGACTAGAAATCGAAACCCGATTTGAATACCTTAACAGCCAGACAAGTGATTTAGTAGCCACTTCCAACACCAGACTCGAACAATTTAACTCAGACTTGGTCGACATTTCCTTTCAGTATTCAAAATCTTCTGAAATCATGAGATCCCAGTCGGTTCCAAGCATAGTCCGAGATATTGGATACTATGATTCTCCTATCCAATCGTTTTCCGCCAAGGCCGTGTGCAGGGTGTAGGGTTATTTTGTCTGCGGTCCCTTTTATATTCCTTCCGTGCTGTGTGCCAAGCTTATGTTTACTTGCGTGCATACAATGTTTTAAATAAGCATTCCAATTGTGTAGCTCTTAGGAGTTTACACACAACCATCGAACTTATTGTCAGTTGCCGATATTAATCTAAGCGTCTGAAGTAGAGAGGCATCCTTTTCTAATTGACAGAGTTAGAAACGACGCGCCCAGTGATTGTACTGGTACCGAACGGATTCGCCGTTCAGGTACCACTTTCGAAACCATAACCAAGTTCATTTGACGTCAGCAGTTTGAAACTGAGGAGTAATGACTTTCAGGATCCCCAGAGAAAATACTGATTCAAAGTGCATTCACACACACATCGGTCTATATGCAGATCGAAGGGGAGCAAAATGCTGCACATATCTCTGCTATTGGCACAGCCATTCCTCGAAAGTCCGGTAACCCAGTGGTCAAAAAGAGCTACCTGGTAGTTATTACGAGTTGGTTTGAAAGTTTAACTTTGATGGCTGGTTCATCCGCAGAATTTAAACAGTGATGGAGCCGACCACGAAGTGTACCCGCGGCTATAAGGATAGATAGGGCCACTTTTCATTTCAAAGCATCCAGGTCCAGATTGAGAGGGGTTAATTGTGACCAATGACAGCGAGCAGACAAACTGGATAAGGTAAATCAAATGCATGCTTATTTACAAGCGTTTCTTACTTGGAATTACTAGGCACGGCACGGACTCGTGCGCTTTCGTAGTGAACTAGTTTTGGAATTTATATGTCGAGCGGCTGCTGTGAATAAAAACCATTCCTTACTTGCGCTGAAAACAGTAAACAGGCCAATAGCTAACCATGGTCTCCAATTTTGTATCTCAGACTTGCACCAAAAATCATACAGTGTGTTAAATAGGTACAGCGGGTGACTGAATTGGTTAATCAAAATGTGATGCTATGTAGAAAACCATTAAAATATGACTAGCAAGAGTTGATGAGGAATATCAATTATGGTGACCTTCCGCCAAAGATATTGATGGAGCCTGTCACCCGCAAGCAAAAAAACCGGAGCGATGTTATGCGCTTCGACACCAAGCCATCGTTAATAGCTACTTAGTTCAAATACGTTCCCCGAGAAAAATGACGGTTTTAGGCTCATAAATGTGTACTATCACTGGTTGATGGTCGATCTATTTATCATTAGTGAGAGCAAGCGCAGCCGTCAAAAGTAATCTTATGGTCCTCATCAATGACAGTTTGAATTGGTCTGACTGGGATATGGAACATATGGACATAAAAAGGAAATATTCGATCCTAGTTCATGGTTAACTCACTCACCGCATTCTTCTTCCGTGTCCGTTACCGGGTGATCGCCCATTACATCTGGTTGCTCCAACAAATGACGGCTTCCCATCATTTGAGGGAATTTGGACCCATCGGCTTCAGTCATTGTGGATTCGACCTGTTCCTCCGCATCCCAGGATTCTACGCAAGTGGTAACCTGACGAAGCACCTCAAAGATGTTGAGGTAATGTTGACGACGAGCAACGTGAGCGGGGGTCCAGTTGTGCTGCAGATAGAGTATGAAGTGAAGCTCTAGAGTGCGAGTTGATATAGTGAACTACCTCAAGCTAGTGCATAGTTCTTACAGAGGCACAGGCCATTTACATCTAGACGTCCCATCCACGACCATGTGATGTCGGCTGATGGATCGTCGTCGCCTTAAGACTCATTCACTGTTCCCCATTGGAGGACCACAAATTTGCACACATCCCACTGATAGCATAGTAGGTCCCGTACCGACTGAAGCTGATAACATCATAGCTAAATCTCCGTTGTGTTTGCTGGGGCATCGGACGGAGATTGGATCCTTATACTAGGCGTCCGCTGTGTGCATTTGTGAGGTCGACGCTTATGTGCATGTAACAATCAAATGAGTTCGGCATCAGGCAGCGTGCAAAGGATATACATATAACACCAACTGGGTGAGTCTCAGCTTGCTCCACTCTCAAGCTACCACGCGGACACAGGGAAAATGACTGCAAGCGTCTTATAAGCATACTAAAATGTTAACCTGAAAATATGTCGCAATAAGTGGACTGTAAGTTGAACGATGAAGGGCTGGCCGTATGTCTGACAGTAGATCACGGTGATTGTTTGGTAGAAAGAGTTCAGTCTGAGCCCCATTTCCGTTTGAACACAGTTCGAAGTGGATGTGAGCGTCAGCACAGTCGCACGGTAACTGGATGGACGACTGATAATCATGGAAAAGTTATGCGGAGTACCGGATTATTCGAAAACAGCGGAGAACAAAAGGGGCGAAGAAAACCCTGCGTATTGGAAACCCCTAAAACTGGAGGCCAAATGGAGACAAATTTGCTGATATTCTACGTAAAATGTAAGCAGTGTCCAGCTTAGTTTGAAAACGTTTACTTTGGTTCGAAAAACATCCACTTTAATTTGAAAAATGTCCAGGTTGGCTTGAGAAACGGCCAGTTCGATTCAACGAACTTCCAATTTACAGAGGGGAAATAGTGCATCATAGCGCTAGAGTACCGGATACTGCGATTATTTTACGTTGTACCCATAACCGTCCTCAAAACTCAAACAGTGCGTGTCCGCCGTTTGACTTTAACCAGGACCGCCGCAGTAAAGGATACATTACGGTCTCGTTGCTCAAGCTGAAATGCCGCCCAACACAAGAGTGGAACTACCGCAATATCGTCACCTCACCGGTTAAGTCGATGGTGCGCACCAGTTCGTGCGGCCAAAGTCGGTCATGGACTCTCACCCTAAGGTACCACCCGCAAGTGTCCTCACTTGCGTCCACGGTACGCTGCAAGGACACATGTTCAGGTCTTTGTGCCAGTGTCTGTTCAGATGTGCCGCTTGACTTCCGCTGCAGTGGTGCATTGGATCATGTGCGTGTCCCGTTTCAGTGCTATCCCTCATTGCTAGCCACACGGATAGACTCACATCACCTACGTTTGGCCTGAGTTCACTAGCCATGGGTCTCTAGCTCACGTCCGGGCTAGTTGGGAAGCTCACAAGCACCGACATGCGCATACGCATGTACCCACGCCATGGCCTACGCGCGGATGGGGGTTGCCCACTCAACGAGCAGCACGATTCACGTGAATGCAATTAGCGTCACGAGCTATCTGGACTGTATTACCAACACACTGGACGCAACCGCATACACAGCTGCCAGTTCCGAAGCGCCCGGTTCACCCTCAAGCCATGGGGTAGGATCCATGTGCCGGAGAACTGCTCACAGTGATCGATTAATTCAGGTACTCAGATAGCTATAGCGACTACGGTGTCGGATTACCGAGACCGTTGCGTACATTGGACAGACAAGTGTGTAGAATGCAACATTGGCAATCAATGGGGGACACAGTGAGGTGCCCAAATCTGAAACACCCTGCGGATACCTTATATCCATTGTGACCAACAGGTGGGTAATTCTGAGTTAACATTCGATACAATACCAGCTGTCAAGCACCAGATTGCCCGAAGATTGAACCGCACACGCTGGGTTGGCCACATACTTCATTCAACCGTTAGGTGCAAACCTTAAGGCAAAGAATACGCTCGGTCGGATAAAGATGGCTGATGGCCACGTGATGATGATTTGGGTGTGAGGGTGGGAAAACACTGGCCGAACGGCCGAGTTGTGTGTTAGTGTTTGTCCAATTTCTGGACTCAGAGTGACGGAGTGAATAATTGGTTATAAGCACTGGTGAAAACGCTTCAGTATGATATTTTTGCTTTCACTGTCTTACTTTCAGCAGTTTTGACGTTGCGTTGCCCTTTTCAGGTTCTTTAGATCTTGTACTCCCCGTAAGGAGCTGTAATATATGGCACAGCGACATACGGCACTTCGTTGCCCAAAGCACCATGAACAATAGTGACTGGAGCTGAGTGGTAGGCACGTTCAACAAAGCATCATCTGAATATAACGCAAAACTCGAGTCCGCACAACCTCGGTAGTAGTAATCGATACTGCCTTATGTGGAGTTAATCCGAGTTCAGCAATTATGTCTTTCTGTGGAGGGTAACAGCGGGCACAGGGATCGTTGCTGTTAAACCACAGGCATGCATAGAGCGACATTCGTATCCATCGTGACCACGAAGCGTCTCTTAATTATCCGGATGAAGCGACTAACCAACGGAAGTGAACAACCCCTCAAGACTTGAAGTGCCAAGAAGTATTACACTTTACTTCTAATGTATCTGTAGCACCGTTGAACTCACAAGTTTGCTCTGCTGCTGATGGAAAGAAAAACGACCAATGATTGCAAGTTAGTGATAGTGGAACGCCAGTACAGTATGAAGTATACACAAGCAATGTGTGATGAACACAATTACGTCAAGCAACTCGAAACAACTGAAGAAAAAATGGGCATCCAAGGCGAAAAATAGCTTGTAAACTGGGAAGTCAACAAAATACGCCGCAAGAGATGGAGCTGTAAAAATGCATAAGAGTCAAATTGTTCCACACAGTGGTATCTTCGGTGACTTGATTAGCAGAAATGATAAAATTTCACAGAAACGTATGTCGATTGACCGTTCGGCAGGTAGGAGGACACGTTCGCAGCGCTTCATTTGTGCGACAGAACCTTGCAGCTCTAAGCTGCGGAGCGTATGCCGCGACCTGTAAGGTTTTGCGTCAATTAAATCGAAAAGTGGGTATAGTGCCTGAGTTGAGCACAAAGAGGATTGAGATGGAGCCACTCTTAGGCATCTTGAAAATGAGGTATGGAGAGAGAACAGCACGACAGCATGAAACGTGATTGGCGTTATGGTGTTCCAAAGATGGGGTTCCTGTGAACTCTTGAGGACCTACAGAGGTCGCAGTGCACTGAGTTAAAATCGTAGTGTATTCTTGTAACGTGTCGTTGGAGAAATGGCGGCGCTATGTACCAGTAAGGTCTTCTACTTCAGCAATGATGGACTTCGAGAATGAAGATGATACAATGAAGACCGTCTACATGTGAAACGAATTTCATCGTCTGCTGAGGCGTAAAGTGGGATCAACGCACTGTTTACGGCGACGAGAACCATCGGCAGCCGCAGTATGACGCTTCTGAGCAATTTCGTAGCAAGGGGAACAGGGCTTGTGTTTCGGCGATTTTGCGCAACGTCCTTTGGTCATTGTGTGACAGGGAAGGACTGTAAGAAACCACTTGTTCGAGACCGCTTGCTCAGTGCTGGACAGGTCGGCTGGGCTAACGGCCAGTGAGTGCTATTGTCCGTCGGCGGAGATGGAATGGAGCCGTTGGGTTCACGTGTCAGTGGCAGGATGCCAGAAGTCGGCGTCTCATTCAGGACATAGTGATTCAGTAAGGAAAGATGTTAGGTTAGCTGAATTTTTGTTTGAGGCGTTCTGCTTCACATTCCAGCTAGTGGGTCTGAGAACAGCCCATTCTTCCTCTTTCTCAGATATCGTTTTCGGATTGAGTTACCTTTGTGGCGAAATGGACATGCTATCAGCCTATGCAAAGCGGGTTGTTCGGTGTTCGCAGTTGCGATCTCGTTCGCAAGCCAACCGCCACTATAATGCATGTGTTCTGAACTACGGATGCCACGTCGACCACCTGTGACATTTACTAGACACTTCTAAGTGACGGGGTAGTAACAGACAGATGTGCGAATTCCAAAAATGAACCAGAACTTCCCTTCGGTTCGTTGAGCTAAACTCAGGATGAATAAACAGTGACGCAATCGCAAGCGTGAATGGAGAGTAATTGACAGGTAAAAGATGTGTCGAATAGCACCGTGGGGATATGTGGGTCAATCGGAAGTGATGAACAAAGGGATACTCAAGTGAGTGCAGCTGCAAGGAAGAGGACACTTAGGTTGGTATTACCAGATGTTTTGAGTGCGTTTGAGGTTGGCATCAAGACCTTGGAGGGGTTGGAAGCTAGCTTCGCGGGGGGATGCATCACGCGACGAGATCAATGTTTGTGAAAGTAGCTTGGCATGATTGATGTGGACCGGAACGATCAACAGTGCTTTGCATGCGTCAAAAAGGTTATCAATGTTTAAGTACTGGAGTGTAGGTAAAGGTATCGAGAGGTAAGTACCAAAGAGAATGCTCTTAAAGGGCCGTTTCGATGGAGAAACTGGCCCCTCTTGATATTCAGTAGGATCACCGATGCTCATTTGCAAATAAGTTTCCATCCTCCATTGAATCGCCGTCGGAAAGCCACAATTCAGCTGTAGCTACCGAAGCGGATCCCACAGGATTTTAATTATATTCGGAGTCGTCTTAGTACAGTACTCTGGAGGCCGGTTCAGTACACCAGCTGAAAAGAACTAGTCTTTCCTACCCGAGCAGCCTACCTCTCGCCTGGAAAATATATATCATACTGTTCATCGGGCTATTGGCAAATGCGTCTGAAAGCAGAGTTTTACGCTTGAAACAAACAAAATCCTTCAGGAGGAATCGGACACAAAAGTACAAGACCCTAATGGACTCGACCTGGCGCGCTTATATAGTCTGTCCGGATGCGAGGGCCTGGGATGCCTGCATAAACCTGAGAAATCACTGTGTCAAATTGGTCCTTGAAGACAAACTCAAACACCAACAGGAGTTAGCGACGAGATTCACCAATAACCCCAATATTCTTCACAGGCATATAGACAACCTCCGGAGAGTGCAGCGCGAAATCCCAGTTCCACGTGCAGTAGATAGTCTGGCGTTCACTACACAAGATGCGGCGAACGCGCTCCGGCAACAGCTTATCCGCACTAGCCAAAGTGAATCGTCACTTCACTGTTCATGACACACTGATCAAGCCATATATTCTTCCCTGCTGCAAATGTGCGCGTGCACAAGTCTCCTGGTGTGCACAGTATCAGACCAAAGCATTAAAAACAGTCGCCATGAACCTTGCCGAACCGTTGACCCGGTTCTTCTAATGGAGCATTGAGGAAATGCAGGTTACAACCATGCTGAAACAGGGAAAAGTCACTCCCATTTTCAATAGCGGGAATCGTGCGGAGCCTAATTATCGTCTAACCACCCTCCTCCTAGTGTTATCCAAACTTATGGAAGGTTTAATCGCAGAGGCGCTAATGAGATAACTTGAGAACATTAATAACATAGTGTCACAGCAGCATGGATTCCGTCGAAATCGATACTGCACCACAAATTTATTACCAACCCGAGCAAGCTGGACGAAGCCAGACAAGGATCTACGTCGTATACCTGAACTTCTAAAGCATTCTATCGCCTGGACCAGCTTATTCTTATTCACAAGTTTCGAAGGCATGGAATCGATGACCCTGTGCTAGGTTGGATAAGCCACTTCCGCATTCAAAGTAAGTTGAATTCGAGTGTCCGCAGATCCAATTGCGACTCAATTAAAGTCAACTGTGGTGTGCCTCAAGGATCGGTACTGGAAGCACGCTTATTCTTAGTATTCATTAATGATCGCGCTAGGATGTTCCAATCAGACGACGTAAAGATCTGGCAAGATATCAATACAATGGGTGACTACGCGGCACTATAAAGAGATATCGACAGGGCCTATACATGGTCCTCCGAAAACCGGATCCGATTTAAGCTGGCGAAATGCAAAGTTCTAAGTGCACGTCATCAGTGTACTCAGGAATATCGGCTGGGAGAGCAGATGCTGCAATATGCTACGCAAGAAAGCGACCTCGGGATAATGGCGCAGGACGACTATGGCTGCTCGAAAAAGGCAGGAAAGACATCGTGAGGAGCCAGTTGGCAACTTGGCATCCTAAGAAGGGCGTTCTGGAAGTTCTAGCAATCAATTTTTCCACAAATGCTGAACGCCTACGTGAGGCCTCACGTAGAGTACGCGATCCAGGCCTAGCGGCCTTTGCGCCAACACGATGCTGCTGCGCTCAAAGCTCCACAACGCAAGGCAAGGAGAATCGTTAGAGGACTGTTTCACCTCTCCTACCAACGCAGACTGCAAGCCCTAGGCGCCTACGAGACCTTATTATGGCGTACTAAATACCGACTAACTCCATCACACCAAGTGTAAGTCAGCCATTTTACCAACTTGAGAGGCCACCAGCTCAAACTGACCAAATACCACAGTCGACTTGATTGCCGACAAAACTTTTTCTACCTTCGGGTATTCAAAACCTGGAACGCCCTTACTCCTCACCTTATTTTCGCCCCCCATTAACGCTTTTTAAGAAACGATTGGACCACACGCTACCCAATTTACCATACGTGATATAGTCTGTTTCCATCGAAAGACGAATTACGCAAACAGTGTGCCCACCAGCCCCTCTCCGTTACGTAACGGTGAGTAGACCAGCATGTGTTTATGTGAATAACTCGGTGAGCCACCTCAAACAAGAAGTTTCCATTTCTTCTGTCACATTAAACAGTCATTTTATCATCTCCACTCCGGTCATCCCGCGGGACTTGTCAAGCGATCGCTTTTTTACAGGTTATAAATCATTGTTCAGTGTTCGGAAGAAACAACCTCTCCAGCACTACTAACAGTTATCCACTATGGTCTACCTTCACTGATGTCTACAGAGACCTTTGGCATAACCCTGACCTGTACTCTTCATGGTCGCAGTCGCTTGTTAAACCGAGAAAAAATAAATGTCTAGTTAGAAAAAAGGTTAAAATCAGCGTACGCAATGCTATATCCACATGACAAGGCCACTTGGATCTCAATACATCGTTGAACCTCTCACCTTATTGCGCATGTTTGGGTTCGCGCCGCTCTCCAACAAAATGTACACCACTTTCGAGTGCCCCTGCTGGGCAGCCAAGTGCAGAGCATTTGATCCAAGACACGTTTGTGCGTTCACATCAACGCCTTTGCCAAGCAGAAAACGAACCATGTTAGCCTGTAAGAAGGGGGTGGACAAATAGTTCCATACGTTAAGAGAGACGCATCCCAAAGCCTGAACACATGTTTCTTTTCTAGGAAGAGACTATGTCAGATGTAATGGGACTATCATCTGCGAGGTGTGAAACTCATAGAATCAGTCTGCCTAAACAGCAGTAGATTAAAATTGAGAGAATAATAAAAAAAATTGATACAGAACCGTTTGGTCAAGTGTCCTAAAGACGGTAATCTTCAAGTTACCAAGGTGCAAAGTATTGAAAATTTTTCAAAAATAATCGGTAAGGATGATACTACCATCAGTACCACCCGAGTAAACACTGAGTCAAATTCCAGTGGTTAAGCAGTCCTACTGGAATCACAGCAAGCATTGAAAAAACAGCTCTCACCGCTTGTGAAAATTGCAGGGGTCACTTTTTGAGTCATCTGCTTGCAGCTATTTTAACAGTAGTACGGACACAAAGTCCTTCTGATAGTCACCCATGATAAATTAATTAAATACCTGAATCAGTCACTCACAGAGCCACTCTAAACACGCAAAAAGTGAACTCGATAATATGTGAAGTTGCATTAGAAGTCGTAGCAGTCAGGCCTGACAGCTTGTTCAACGAATATTCGTCCGTGTGAAGTTTAACTTAGTTAGCTGACAGATTGGGACAGGGAGCAAAACATAAGAGCGGCGGCTAAGTCCGATGCGATACTCAGGAGGCCTACAACCGACATCAATTAATAGTCTGTTGTGGAACAGTACAGTCCATCCCTTATGGATACGTATGTCATTACTGTGTAAGTAAAAGGACAATATGCTTGGAATCGGATCCCATACTAGGCATCCAGATGTTTCGTGAGTTAGTTTTCGTCAATAGATTGATAACGGGAGGAGTCAAAGTACTAAAGAATTCAGTATGGTCGGCACTAGCACTATTGGGAACCTTACTGGCCCAGTGTTCTACTCTTGGTTGGTACCCATGAGATCATTTGTCCGAGTACGGCCAATTTCGATACCGAGGAGTCCGGAAAGGACGACGCATACCGTGAAGTGAAAATTCGGGAACGCGGAACAACGAGAATGTCCCGACAAAATGGCATGGCCTGTGGAATTGGGATGATTCAGATCTATGTTTACAAAACACTGTCTGCTTGTGGATACCCATTAAATAAAGCACGAATGGTATCCAAGTATCATCTGTTTAACCCAGACGCTTACCTGCCCAAAGTGACAGGCTGTGTGAAGTGGGGTGTAACCAGCTTTGGTTCGTGCATCCAACTCCGACCCTGCCGCATGGAGAAGTACCGCAGCTTCAAGACTGTCCTCCTGGGCAGCCAAGTGCATCGGCGTCAGTCCGTTCTGGAATAGATGAAAAGAAACAAGTGATGATCTATCGATACATATGAAAACAGTGCAAGCGGGGATACAATTGCTCTTCACACGAGGTGAAGGAAGAACACTAACGAAAATCGATGTGTTGATCATACCAAGAAGTGCACAGGAAAACTTGAACTAGACTGCGAGAAGGCCTTTAGGAACTTCGGGCCTCCTATCTTTCTGCGAATACCATACATGTATATGGGGCCTCGTGTGGAATAGGGGTTCGGCCTCGCTGACGGAATCACGATTTCGATGAGTTTGAAGCGCCACGATGCATGGCGGCTTGTTTCACCTTTACCATCGCAGGTTGAAAACCCGTAGAGTGTGCAATGAAGAACCCTAAACATGCTTACCGTAATCTTTTACAGCTCAGCGGTAGACAAATCTGAGAAGTCATTGGCGTAGATTGGTCACACAATAGTCGACTACACTGCTCACAAATGTCTTCTCCCTCCGAATATCCCGGACATAAAACGCTCTTCCGTCCCATGCAATTTCTGCTACCATATTATCACTCTTCAAAAGACGACCTAAAAACGCGTTATCTGGTTTGTATTACATGTAGCAATTGGAAGATGTAACCATTCGAACCAGTGTCTCTGCCAGGCCTATCCGTAACGTAGCGGTAGGAATATCTATAATTATGTCAATGTGAATCCCTTAGGGCGTCCATCAAAATCCAACTTTTCGTCGCAATTTTACTTTTGGCGCTGTAATCTCCAGTCATCTCACGAGATAAGCCAAGCCCTTGATATGTTTACTCGTGAAAAATCTCTGTTGCTCGCCGTTGTCACACTCACTTAGAAGTAGTTCGGAGTTTAATCGATGAGCTCATGGTTTGTGATAAGATGAAAGCAATTGCAGTTGTTTCGAAACAACCCGCCCCCTCAGCTCCTCTTTCATGAAAGAGCACTACGTTTATCCACCAATTCCCCTATTGGCTCTAGCACTTGCTGGCGGTTACATCTCTTTTCGGCATTTTTGGTTAGAACACCCCAAATGCCAACAGGAGAAGCGGCGACAGTATAGCTGCACTTTGCGATGAAGCATCACTACCATATAAAGTAGTGGTCTCAGTAATGAGGAATAATAATAGTCGGAGAAAGAGAGGTACGGTAAGCAGTCTAGGATAAAAACAAGATATGTACTACACACTTTTAGAGGGGTATGAGGAATAGAAAGCACAGTTGGAAAAGGTCCACTTTCACTGATAATACTCTTCATTAAGCCGCGATGAAGCTTTTAACTTGGCCGTTACCTTTCCGAGGGAACATTGTTTTTATTTTACGTGCTGCGGATTTGTTGGTTTTTATTATGCTTTTAACATTTTTCTTCGGCTAGACTATGCACATTAGCATTAGTTCTGTTGTCTCTCGATGGTTTTGGTAAAAGAACTATGAGACATTGCGCGTACGATCACGCGGTTTGTTGATTTCGGTCATGAAATAACAAAAGCATCTAAAATCGCCCCAATTGGCAAACGGCTTCTGCGCTGTACCGTCAACCAGATGCAATTACCAATGGTTCATATCAGCAAAACACATTCCTTAGCTCCAAATCCGGGACCGTTTCACTTGTGCACACATTGCCAATATTTTTCCATTTACACAATATTTTGTTTTTAATGGTGCTATATTGGTTCATCTGCGGTAGCCGTTACAAAATGTTGCCAATGCACCCACTCGGGTATTTAGTTAGCTTGACTGTCATGTGTTCGGGATCTTAACTTCGAACGTAGACTGTCTCTAATGTTTTCGATTATGATGAATAGCGTTAGTGATCAGGCTTGTACATCCCTTTGCAAGAAACGGATGAAACTAACCTTCGCTTTTGCATTTACGCGCGCTCCTGTTTGGATTAGAAGTTGCGTCATCTCAGGACTGCCGTCTTGACAGGCCAAGTGAAGGGGAGTGAACCCATTTCTGGATTCCACATTCACGCTACTATGCGCAGCTATGAGTAGTTTAGCGACTTCCACAAGACGCTTCTCGGCCGCGATGTGCAATGGAGTGAATCCATTTTTGGCTTCGCTTGTCGGATTGGCCTAGAATGGAATGTGGTTTATGTCACTGAACAAGTTGTAAACGCATAATTGTAAAAACAACCATGCGGGGAGACAAACAAGACGTGAGAGTTGTCTCAGTAACCAGTTTGATACAAAAATGTATCCCAACTAGACAGTAAATGGGCAACAGTTGGATAACCAGGCAGTTTGCTTAGCCTAACCTTGACTCTCAATACTATCCCTTAGCTTTTATCTGATAGAGTCGCTAGCGGGAGCACTGATAGACGGAGAGCATTAGAAACTAACTGCTAGTTGGCAGCTGTTATTGACATCTTGACCGCCATTATTTCATATTTGATCCGAAAGTGCCAAGTTTCAGAGTGACCCGGTATCCTCTTGGTTAGTTAGGCATACAAACATTCTAAGCACCATTATAGGACACATCTAAAGTTTTATTTTACCAAAGTTTGAAAATTCACCCGTTATGGGTGCATAAAAGCGCATTCTTGACGACTTGACTACCTAACCCATCACGCGTAGGTGTGATTAATGATGCAATAGTGCGCTGGAAAACCAGCTCCCGCTTTTGTACAAGCCTTTCTCTTCCTGACACTGATCAGAATTTATTCATTCTGCCTGGTGCAGTAGAACAGTATTTTTTTATCACAATCGCCGACATGACGACATGCGTGGCATCCAAGGCGCCGTTGTTACTCTAATTTTGTCTCGATTACCAGCTCTTGTTAGCACATCAAAAATTGTAAAATAACTGGAGGGAAGCCGCTAAAACAAAGGCAAGATGAGCACTAAGGCTTTACAAAGCATCAGGTGACCTAATTCTCCATATTCGTAAAACTTACCCCGCTTAAGCCCTAGTCATCGAATCCTACATATCCTGTTTTCTGACAAATGTACGTTCCGGTTTTCTATATTGCCGCCTTTATTGTTAGCTCTGAATAGCTGTGTTTAAGAGGTGGACTGCACTCAATTTATCAGCCATATATAACGAACCCATATTGTTAAACGTTGCATCATTTTCTTTGGAAGTCCTGCTAGCTATGAACATGTGGGCCAACTGGATCTTGAACCAGCATGATATATCTATGTCAACTGTCCATATAGTGTTAAGGCTACACTCAGTTATTGGTAGGTATACAACTTGTGGTTTATACCTGCAAACTGATTTATTTAACATAATCATTTGAAAACACGTAGTAACGATGTTCGGCTGCTACATACAGCTGCAAGCCATTTTGTGCTAAGAACCACTTTTGGCTAGTATTTAAGAAAACCTGTAAGTGTTTACCGCCTGTCATTCCATTGCAGACGAGTAGAGTTGGATGGTCACCTTTTAATAGTGATGCACTACTATATTGTGAATTTTCGGCTTCGTATTTTTTAAGCATATATAGCTTGGCATAATTTTGTGCTTCCTTATTTTAACACGCCTGACAAAAATGGCATGTGAATGAAGACGTTAAAATTAGGCGCTTTTCCCAAACACTTTGGAACATACAAAAGGCGAAATATATCGCAGTGACTTTGTCCCAATTGTATTTAGAAGTATGCGCTAATTGTAATCGACGCTTTTCCTTATTGTTTGCCATTTTGCACCCAGAAGGTTTTCAGTTTGGCCCCGTATGGTTACGTGTTGAGCGCCACATTATAACAAGAAGTCTACAGAATGTTTAATCCACTTTATTCATTGCGAGCGATCTATACTATATGGACTTTTCTTTGCCAGCTTTTCTATATATTTCTTTCTTCACAGGGGCAATTCTCGTAAAACTTGTTTTTCATCTGTGCTGATGTTATTACCCATTTTTATTCCACTTCATGGGAATATTATGAGTCGAATCCTCTGGATGCAATGAAATTGATCGATGCAATGGGTTTGAGCATCAGCAGAAGATTGAAACATTAGCGTTGACCTGTTGTCCCATGAGAGGGCCAAAAGGATCTTCATATTGAGTCTCGATTTAACTCTCAAGCAACACTAAATACTATACGCTCGTGTGAATGTTTGAGACCTCAGTCCTATTTCTTCTTGCATTTTTCACGCATGAGTGTGAAATCCCTGCACATAATGATCTGGCCCTTCAATGAATCAGTCTCTAGTACAATTGAAAGATATATGCTTAAGTAAGCAAATAAAATACGAACAACTAACTCGCTAGCGATGAGTGGAACTCCATGGCACTTGGTCAGAACTTCGCAGTTTGGAAGTGTAAAGAGTAGACTCAAAGTAGTCAGGCATTTTGACTTCTGGCAGTTTGAATATGTGTTATACATGACAACATTCACCTGTGTATGCGATAACAAAAACATTTGTCAACTTATATGTCATAAATTGTGACACATAACATTTTGATTCAGTCAAGCAGGCAGCCAGCACACTTCCGGAAAAGCACTGGATGAGTGCTCCATCCTTTCGGGAATTGTGCCGGCCGCCTGGCTGAGTCCAGATGTGCAGAATTCCACCTACTATTCATCAACTGCCTCATTATTACCTTAGTAACGAATATGCTATCAAAAGCATGTAACTGAATCCATCTCAGGGTACGCACTGCTAGCATGTTTGGTTTTGAGAACGTTCTAAAGAGTACCTGACTCACATTGTGTTCCAGAAGCAATCGGACCAAACCGACTGAGCCATAGTGAGTGGCCAGATGCAACGGGGTGAGGCCGTTCCGGCCGGAAGCATTCACATCCGCCCTGTGTGATAGAAGTAGAGCCGTCACTTCTGGATGAGAGTATTTGGTTGCCAGATGGAGTGGCGTGAATCCAGACTTGGAGGGAAAGGAGAAGAGGAATGAAAGGCTTACAAATTGGCAATGAAGAAAGAAAGAAAACGTCCAAAAAGTGACGGATGTCGTTTGAAAATCTGCACAACGATAATAACCAATTCACCTTTGTCACCGTCTCCAGCTGTGCGTTAGCGCGTAACAGCAGTTGACAAACTTCTTTGTGATTGGCTTTTGCTGCCAAATGAAGCGGCGTATATGTGTCTTTGGTCAAAGCCTGAACATGAGCCGAATGTTCTAACAACAAGTTGACCATATCGACACTGCCGATTCTTGCCGCGATGTGTAAGGAGGTTTGATGACCCTGAAATGGAATTGCAGAAGTGTGCTTGGAATGGGATCATCAAGTCCAATCGGAATATGCTTACAAGGAACAGTGAATGTATACAGGTTAAGAAGCGCTGCTTTACAAGTCTGGTTAGACAGTTGGTGGGGATCTCAAAATAATAATGATAATTATACTAATAACAATAAAACAGTACTTTAACTATGAAAAGAAGGACTTAACGTTTGTTCTGCTGTAGTTCTACAATCCGCGTAGATTCACAGCCCCAACAGTCAACATTAAATAAATTCCAAATGAGCGCCTTTTCGTTGTGAACGTCTCTTGGTACACTCACCGCAAGTCACAAGGCCCAAAACTGTAAGTGGGACGATAAAGCCCGTTTGGGTGACCAGTCTGACGTAATATGATGCAACCGTTTATTGCTTGATTTTGAAATGCCTGCTGTGGGCTTTGGTTGCGGAAACCAATCCCAATTTGGACCACGATTTAAGCTGTGAAGCAATACTCGGTCTTACTAATCACTTGAACAGCATTTGTTTTTACGAATTACACAGTAAAAAGAAGCACGGAGCTGTGACAAGCTTTTAACTGGATGTCAACCGCTTCGGACTATGCTTTGAACTCACGAAATGCAAAGTTTTCCTCCAAGATTGGCAGGAAACGCCACTTGCGCTGACTCTTGGTGAGAATATGTTAGAAGTCGTTCAAAATTTCAACTACCTGGGAATTGGTACCAGCTCCCTCGGGATCGTAGACGAAATCACGAACCGCACAGCAAACGCACCAGCTACTTCTGCTAACTTTCGCCACCTATGGCGCCGGCGCGACATCTCTCGTCCTGGAAGGCAGAGTGTGCAGGGTATCCGTTCGTTCAAATCTCCTTTACGGGTGTGACACCTGACCCCTTAGATTAGCAGACATAAGAAGGCTAGCTACGTTTGTCAACTGGTGCCTTCGTAGCTTGGCTCACATCTGGTGGGAACACCGCGTGAGCAACGAGCGTGTTCGATGCATTATTTATGACACAGGAAGAGGAAATGAACCGCTCAGCACCGTTTTTTCACGCACCAAGCTCCGATCGCTGGGCCACGCGTTGCGCGTGCCAGCCCACCGGATACAGCGACGTGCATTGTTTTTGTGCCGGGGGTGTGGATGGAAGAAGAGAAGAGGTGGCCTAGCGACCACTTGGTCAAGAGGAATGAAGGCCCTTACTTCAAAGTTGGCCTCGGTTGAGTCTCTCGGTTCTCTGGTTGGGGTTCAAAAGACGATAAACATGTTTGGCTGGATACATTTTTTGACAAAGCAAGAAGCCGACCACAGTAGCGTTTGTGTTGTGTGTTTCTTTGTCCCTGCCCCTCCCCTTAGCCTCTCCCTCCAACCGCGATCGCATTTTTCAGCATAATAAAAATTTGGCATAAAAATGTTTTTGTTGCATAGTAGCCGGCTAGTAGATTTCCGAAAAGATGCCTATCCGTTACCGGTAGCTCAGCTAGCGTCACCGGTTGTGCTTTTTTCTCTTATGTATTGCGGCTCAGTAGCTGAGGTGGCTTCCACCTCTAGCTAAGGTGCATAATGAATGATGAGAATGTTTTAAAAATATCTCGAAAGTTCCTCTTTCACCATTTTGCCTCGTTGACTCGAAACTTGTGAGGCGGAGTTGGAATAGTTGAATGCCTGTGTTCCTAGAACTGGAAATCATCTGGGTGAATGATCAGGAACTCTACTAGGCGTGGAAGGAGCCAAAAAACCAGTGCAGTTCATGCGCTCGTTCCCTTGGATCTGACTCGTAACTCTTAAGTCAGCTGATCAAAACATCTCTTCCTCCCCTGAATGAAATGACGTTTACCCTTCAGAGAAGGCAAAAGCGCGATCCGATCCATGGATGTAGAGAGGAAACAGGTGATTCCTTTATTCCCACTCCAGCGAGCCGCATAGGAATTATGCCATAACGTACATTCCAAAGAAATGGACAATGAGCTCCTAGTCTCTATGACAAGTGCTGATCGCGCAGCTCGGTTGAGCAGCAGCAGACGATGTTCTGGCCGAGCAAGATGCGGAGTTTGGTTCCCATCTATGGCAAGTACGAAGAAACACGAAACCAATCGCAGAGTAAAACTTGGGGTTGGTGGTAGTCATCTTAGCTACGGGCCCAATGGCTAGACTGGCCGAAACCCACTGTCAACTTTAATCATGATCCACCCTGAGACCGCGTGACCCAGCCTGTCATCAACACGATGAATGTTTCAAACGAACCAACGATAAGAAGTTTGTCTCTAACAATGCCTGCCAATTTAAATGTACTAAAATCATCACGATAGCGACGTGAGTGAACGCAGCCAGATTCACGGTACCGTATTGCGTCGACCATAGCTGCTCAACGCCCTATAGTTATAAACTGACTGATACAGAAGGAGAGACATGCTTTCTGCGTTTGAGTAGAATAAATGGGATAAACCCCAACAGTGCATCTGTAGCGAGTTGTTCGGGGACATAAAACGTGTGACACGCCTGACTTGTACACGGATCTATCGGTTCAGTGTGTATATCCCAGTTACATAACAGAGTTAGACGTGAAGCGCTTGAGGACAATTTCACAGGAATTTTCGTTGAAAATGAGCAACGTAGTAGTAGTAGAGTCCGCAACTACTCAACGCTTGGGATGGCTGTAAGAGTGAATCTTCATTCCTCCCGTATTCTTCAAAGTCTGGGGCTTCTGTTACTCAAAATGGCAAATACAGCCTCTGTGATTATATATATATATATATATATATATATATATATATATATTCACAATCGGAGTGAAGCAAATGCGCCATCAGAACCGTGGCGAAATAAAGGGGACAACCGAAACACGTGTGAAGAAAACGATTTTTCAGTTTTACACATGTCGTTTTGAGATATGTTGTGTTCTGGAGTTTTACCTTCGATGAGACGTGAAACAAAAGATAACGCGGTTTAACAGCACTGTCTCCACTGATGCCTGTTGTGTGCCACAGCCTCCAACGTTTCTAATCACTGGCAGTCCAAATCGCTTAGTCCCCATCCTGGAAGGAGGAGCAGTCCGATGGATACTATGCCTGAGGTTGCCTTCTTCATGCTCCTTCTCCACGTCATTGGTTGTCCACCGCAGCACTTTTTCCGGTAACCTCCCATGAGCGCAAATAGCGCTCGGCGGGGATGGCGATAAGCTGGCATGCGAAATACGTAGCCGTGTGAACGCATGCGGTGTCAAAGAATAACAGTTTGGAGGCATGGGATGTTTGCTCCCAACACTCGCTCATTTCAGTTCTGCGTTACTCACGTGATGCTACCACCACACGCGAGCAATCCTACGCAGACAACGATTGTCGAAGACTGACAATCGTTTTATGCCTTCCGAGCGAGTCGGTCAGGTCTCACAGCCGTACAAGAGGACCACACGGACAGAGGTAATATATTCGCTGCCCTTGAGTTGGAGACTGACGTCAAGACGGCGCCATAAGTGTCTCAGTCTGATGAATGCAAAGCGGGCCTTTGCGATCTGTCGTGAGACTTCATCTCCTATACAGCCTCCAGCTGTGAGGCAATTTCCTAGATAATGGAAACAGTAGACTTTTTCCAGAACATCACCAGCAAAGGTGAGAGTAGGCACAGGCAACGGCCAATCCTGGAGTAGTATGTTACATTTGACTGGTGTGAAACACAGACCATACTTAGATGCCTCCATCGCTGATCAGTTCAGAGCGCTCTGGAGGACTTGTGGATCGTCCCCGAGCAAAGCGATATCATCGGCGTAGTCCAAGTCCGCCACTCTGTCACCTGGGAGAAGATCAATACCGCAGTTTCAAGGAACTTCCAATGCTGACTGGACATCTTCAATGACAAAATGGGAAATAAGGCAAGATTGCTGCATGCCGTTGGCGAGAGCAAACGAAGTGAAAAGCATGCCGTAAGCCCTGACCTTACCTGACGTATGACTGTAGAGATCCTTCAAGATGGTTACAAAGTTGTCGGGCACAGTTTTCCTTAGTAAACAGTTCCACAACGCACATCTATCTACTGACTCAAAAGCCGCTCGGATGTCCAAGAACACTACGAGTGTTGTCTGTCGGTGGAAGTAACGGAGTTCAAGAAGTTGGCGGAGTGTGAAGATGTGGTTAAGACAATAAACAATGATTTAGTATGGGATAAAAGCAAGTGCTTGACACGTCCCGTAGGATAGTTGGGGTGAATATGATGAAATCAAAATATATCTGGGTTATTTACCAAACGTTTGCCGAAATGAATGCTTTGAGAAATTACATCAGTGTAAAATTAAAAAAAAATCGCGCGTAAACGTTCAGAAATACACTGGGGTGCAGTGATCGTTGATATAAGGCTTGAGAAAAGTAAAATATGGTTGCTCACTTGGTTCCAATTTATACATAAATCCTGTAAAAAAGCATGCTTAGCGTAATCCACAATAGAGCAGTTTAGGTAATAAAATGCAGGGAGCTAACAGCAACAGTTAATCGTTTTTTGAAAACGTCCAAGGTAGGGGAGGATACAATTGAATCTGGGAATGCGTTTCAGGGTTGGCAAACCCGAAGGAAAAGGTAATTACGTCGACACTCTAGACGGAAACCAGCTTGTTCCTCTCGGTAAACGCCTCTTCTAGTCCCTGAGAGTCTGACGAAGAACAGACACGAAAAGCTTGGAGGCAACAGAGATCACAGAAATTCCGCGATCATTGGTGCAATCTTTGCGGGAACCTTTCCTGTGAATCGGGACAAGGACCGATTCTTGCCTTGCAATAGGGATTTTCTCGTCAGTCCCAATTCTCGTGAACAGTGATAGCATTTTGTTGACAAGTGCATTCCCGCCATATTTGAATAGAGTTGGGGGTAGGTTGTAAGGGCCGGGAGCTATCTGACGCTTCAAAGATTGGATTGCGCTTCGGAACTCTGTTTCGGTAGGATCATTTGTGGTGATAGATCAAGAACCATCCGAGGGAAACGGAGGTGTCACAGTGGGCTGTGCTGAGCAGTTACATTGGAAAGCAAAGTGCTCTGCCCAGCGACCCAAGCGTTTGTGCACGTGGCTGATTTTCGTGCCGCATGACTCACAAATCCTCTGATTGAGAGCATGTGAATTGCAACAAGTGGCCTTGATGAGGTAAAATAAACGGTGGAAGTTTCCAACCGACGCAGCAGCTTCCATCTCAAGAGCCCATTTTGACCCCCAGCATTCACGATCAAAGCGGAGGTTTGACTTAATCTTTTGAGAGATGGACCGACGAAGTTTATTGTGCTCCGTACCGGCGGATACAGCCTATCGACGGTAATGCAAGTTCCGGGGACCTTACCGAAATCCAGCTTCTGGTTGTGCAGTGGGTGAGTCCACAGCAGGACAAGCCGGCGGACAGCAGTGCTTTTTGCAAATTTGACCAGTGTTGATCAACATTCAGAGTGGGAGAGAGAGCGAGATTTTCGCGAAACTTCTGTTAATAGTGCCTTTTCACCATTGGGTCCACCAACTTGTGAGTGTTGAGTCGGGTTTGCTTGACCTTGAGTGAACCGCCGAAACGCATGCAAATTATCGCATACGCCAGTGCATGATCGGTGTCAACACAAGTTGACCAAAATGATCGGCAACCGCGTACGCTGCCGCGCTACCTGCGACTTATGGTTATGTGATCAATTCGTGACCAGCGCTGGGTTGACGATGGAAGACGCCAGGTGTCATAGTTGCGTCCAGAGTGACGAAAGCTCGTACTGGAGAGGAAAAGTTGGTGGTCGGCACAAAGACTAAGCAGTCTCTCTTCGTTGTCAGGGCGAACATCATCATTCCAGTGCGGTCCACCTAGGTAGCGTTCACATGGCAGCAGCCGACCAATACGTGCGTTTAAGTCTCCCGCCATAACAACGATGTTTTAGGCACCCTTAGGAGCAAAACATCAGAATGTTGACATAACTGGTCCTTGACTGCATCCGAGCTGCGGAGATCACGAAAATAGCATGCTTGTCTGCGCGATGAGTGATAATCTTACAAGAACCACGGAGCGTCACAACGCATAGCGAGTGTTGACTGGAATCCAGTCAAGGAGGGCGGCCTCGGCTCCAGCAATGAGGGCGGCTCCAACACCACCTAGCCAGATGCGGCGGACACAGCTTCATCAAAAAGGCGAAGATAAAAGTGGATGTGTAGTTGGACTGGTGGGGACATCTAGTAGACTGTGTTGGAATCCTGAAGTCGAGTTTCATTCAGGCAGTAGGCGTCAATTCCAAGGGTCTCCAGCATGCGTGCAAGTCAAGCTTGCTGTCCGAGCTGCAGCAATGTGCGCAGGTTGAGGGTTGCTAAGTTGAACTGCACTCCAGGTCGCAGTAACGATAATGGCAGACTTCGGGGCTGGTAGCTCCTTGTCAAGAACTGTGTGGTTGAGTTGACGGGTGGCGAGAGAACAAGTTCATGGCCGGAGGTACGATTATTCACATTTGAAGAGGCAGTTAACAACAGAGATGAGTGATACAAGGAAAGAGTATGTGAATTGTTGGCGTGTGTTTGTAAAGTTGGCTCAGTCGTAGGACAGTGGAGCATGAGAGCGAGGGAGACCGTAGTTGTGTGTATCCATGGTGCATCAGTAGGCGAGATACTACCCAGTTACCTAAGCCGAATTAGGTGGGTTGTCTTAGGGGACCACAGACCAGAGCCCTTTGCCGACAGACCTAACCCACAAGGCAGCAGGGTGAAGTAAGGGTTTCGCACTCGTTGGGAGCCGGCGACTGAACATTCAGTTCATATGCCCTTCGGATGACGAAGTCATACCATGGGCCCAACACTCCCGAAGTCAAAGGAAGAATGCAATGCTCGGATTGCCTGCCGGTATACAATGTCTTCAAGAAGACAAGGGGCAGTGACTTTATTTATTGGCGAGTCACCTCCGCCATCTCACAGTGTTGTTAAAAGGACATATGTGGCCTTTTATATGGAGAACGCCTGCCAGGCGCAAACCCACCACGTCCTGGAACACTGCCGCCGAACCATACGCCGGAAAGGGAAATACCTGAACCGCCTAGCTGACACTACGATGAGGTTTGGTCTAACTCCTACCGCATGAGATGGCGTCCGTCCACTGACTACCCTTACTAAGGAGCATGCCGAGAGTCACAAAGTTGAATGTAACTACTCATTAGACCCACAAGGGAAATTTCGAGCTCTCCCGTTAATCGACTTTTACCTCAACAATCGTTTCTCTTGACTTTGAATATGCTTACTGTTGGGAGCAGGCCAGTCCAAAGTTGGTGCACTCATTTGCTTCGGTGGGCGGAGTCGAATTTCAGCTGACTGATGTTAGCTCCCTTGACCAATGTCGAACGCTGAATTCGGTTGTCCGACGTGTTTCACCTTGCGGTAAACGCTTACTAATACCCACGCAAGCTGATATGAAGGAGAATGCAACTACCTATTTGTGTCGGTTACGATCTAATGCGTCGTGCTTTCCCCTTCCACATACAACCCATAACTTCGAACGGATTGCTCCGAGCTTGGAGAATCCTCCAGTGTTCGGAACAGCGTGTCATGAAGAGGACTAAGACACATCGGGACAATAAACAGGTCAGGCTAATCACATAGCCTTATTGATTTATTGATGCCTGTAATTCACGAGTTCATTTTGGATCTGCATAGTTGTGGTTGTACTAGCCTGATGATGATTCACTGGAAACAACCTTGTTCGCTACGTCCTACTTCTAATGTGTTCACAATCAATTGTAATTGTAACCTAATTGCGATGAACCGAATAAAACCATACCTAAATGCGTCTACTCATTAATAACCAAAATTTAAGCCCTACCAGTTCTCAAAATGCTATGTGGGCCCACATCGCTGGCAATGGAAGTCATGACCAGGACGGCTAACCACTGCCCTCCGTAAGGGCACAAACTTACATGACAGTGGATGATGGGATAGGCTACCTCAGTTAGATTTCAATATGTGATGGTCGGCTACTGTTCACCATGGCTCAGTGGCATAAGCTGCCAGCTAGTGGTGCAAACAACTAGCGGTCATGGGTTCGATTCCGAGCAGGGGACCGAGGGAATGCGCGCACTGACGAAACGATCGTCTGGTGCATTCCCGAATTGGTAGCACACCATTTCGGCTCGTAACCCAATAATAAATAATAATGTGTCAGCAATACGCCACTTCGCTGCCGAGTGACCACCACCAGTCGCGCGTGAGCAGTATACCGCGAAGACGCCCGCCCCTACGCGGATTCGAACCGGTGAGCTTATGATTGCAAGCCAGGCGTGCAGACCACTCGGCCACCGGCCGGCTTGTAAGCTAATTGCGATGAACCAACTAAAATAAGCTAAATCATCGAGCGACAATCGAATCCACACTGGCTGAATCGACTGTTTGCCGTCTTCCTAAATGGGGCACCAGGGATCGGTTACAACAGTCCTCGCTGCATAACTTCCTTCACTTCTGACTCTTAACTAGTTTATCGGACGCAGTTACATTGTGCTCATTCCTCTTGCTTTATTATTATATGTACGTATTATAATTTATGTGATTTGTGAGGGTAATGGGTTGCACTACATCACAGTGCACGAATCGTTGTGTCAATTAGCTGAACCGAATGGAAAGCAATCGCCATTATGATGACACCAGTTTGGGATCGTCGCCTAAGTAGGTCAGCAGAGCATGGTGCACAAATAGGTAATAATGGGTAAAAAAATTATAAAATGATATTACCTTCTAAAGGTGTCGTTCAGATGGAGTAGAAGAACTCAATATTGTGCGTCTAAAACCGACCATTGTTTTCGTATAGCACATAATCTTGTAACAGCCTCCTGAGAAAAGTGATGTAACAACACAAGTAAATAACCTTGAGCTTATTCACCCTGTGGAACAGGAGTAAACGAACTGCCAACAGTTGCACACAAGTTCGCAGAGCATCGACCAATGGAAATGTGCTGATCACTCATCGTATGGCGTGGTCGAACTTACTCGAGCGCGAGCATCAACTTGCGCACCGTTACGCAGTAGTAAACGAGCGACTTCTGTCTGTGCTGCCCTCGCTGCCAAGTGTAGGGTGGTCTCGTTACGCACTGTCGGAGCGTTCGGATTGGCATTGTGTTGCAGCAGTAAAATGACAATGCTCAAATGGCCCATGAATGAAGCCACATGTAGGGGAGTGAGTCCAGACTGGAAAAAATATTGGTGAACAGAAGACGAGCTAAGCGGGAACGGGGTAGCAAACGATTCTGCAACTGTGAACATTTAAACAGCAGAAAAGAGCGATGTACAAGGTTACTAATGTATTTATAAAGTGTTCATCGTGGTCTGCTCTCAAGCAGACAGATTTTTGTGAATCCGGAAAAGCAGTAGACAGTCATCTCATCGGACTCCTTAGTGCCACCTACCCTCCGGATGCCTCATGGGCCGAACGCCAGCGAGTTATGCGACTAGATCATGGATGATGGCAGCTGCGTAACAAGTTAACTGCGATATAACGCGGCTCATCCTCCACTGTCATGTAAGTTACGAACCCCAGAGCTACAGCTTCCACAGTAGCAAGTATATGCTAAGGGGCTTAGCAGCTGAAATTACGATATATTTTAGTTATGTTAATTTTCAAACGCGCCCTTGTGTGTTGTAAGTTTCTCAGGTGAAGTTACTACGCTCCAATTGGAATCTATCTACAATATGTTGCAGCTTATTCGGTGAGACGTATCACAAAGAGCATCTAGCTTAGGGGTACGTACGATGCGATTCTGTTGGTTAAAATGAGATTCAACAAAACTAGCTCATTCGACTACAATTCTCAGAAATACTGTTGTACGGCATAATTGCGCCAGAACAGCATGGGTTTCGTCAACATCGTTCATGTACGACGAATCTGCTGATAGCTCGTGACAACTGGACCGAGACTGTCGATGAGGGAACAGGAGTCGATGTCGCATTCTTGGACTTTTCGAAAGCCTTCGATCGCCTGGATCATCGAATCCTGCTCATTAAACTCCAACAGTACGGTATCGGAGACCCGTTGTTAGGATGGATCGGTAACTTTCTCTCTGAACGGCAGTTGGAAGTTAGAGTTCGATCATCCTTTTCCGATCCGATTAGAGTGGGATGCGGCGTACCGCAGGGTTCGGTACTTGGGCCTCGTTTGTTCCTGCTTTTCATTAACGATCTAGTAAGAGTTATTACGTCGAAATTCTTACTCTTCGCGGACGACCTCAAGGTTTGGCGGGCGATAAAACGATCGGACGACCATGAAGTCCTACAGCGTGACTTGAATGAGGCCTGGAATTGGTCGGTGAGAAACGCCCTGCCGTTTAATGTGAACAAATGTCGCGTTGTTCATATCCGCTATCGACAAGTCCACGTCTACAAGCTTGGGGCACACGATCTGAAGACCACCACTCAGGAACGCGACTTGGGTGTGCTGGTACAGGAAGACCTCGGGTGTTCCAAACAGTCAGATTCCGCTTCTAAAAGGGGCAACCAGCACGTTGGACTCCTGCGAAGAGCATTCGGAATTTTGGATCCATCCATCTTCTCTTTGATGCTGAATGCCTACGTGCGTCCTCACGTCGAATATGCAATCCAGGCCTGGCAACCCTGGTTAAAACGTAACCTTGCAGCGCTTGAGACCCCACAGCGTCGAGCAACGAAAATCGTCAAGGGCTTGCGCCACACTCCTTATCAGGAACGACTGGAGATACTCGGAGTGTTCAGCGGACGGTACCGGCGACTTCGTGGAGACCTCATACTAGTGTACCAGATATTGAGCGATCCCAGTCACGTATGCCGCCACCTCTTGAAGCTCAGCCCAAACACTAACCTTCGCGGTAACAGTTTAAAGCTGAGCCATCAGTACAGTCGTCTAGATTGTCGGAGAACCTATTTCTCCCTCCGGGTCTGCGGGCCTTGGAACGCCCTTCCAAACTCAGTTGTTTGTACCCCCACATTAGATACGTTTAAAAAACGATTGGACGTCGCACTGAGCGCCCTGCGCTTTGTTTTATGAACGAAAACGCTTGTATATATTTAGGCTGACCAGCCTCTTTGGATTTATACCCCAAATTCACGGTCGTAAATCTGTGCGAACCGGTGAGTACTCCATTTTTATTTGCTACCATCACCAACGATAACAATTTCTTAGCCAGTTTTGCGTCGTACCACTTTATCCCCCTAAAACTGTTATACTTCTACCTTTTATCTCACTGACGCTTCTTACTTCAACCACTTATCTGTTAGTATTTCTATTGCCAACCTGCGGGACTCGTTAAGTGTATGCTTTTTTACCCGTCAAATACCATTGTTCCATTGTTCAGGTGGTTTATAATTACATAAGCCAAGTGGCAGGCTAAGTTTGTTATGCTGTTATCGAGAGGAGAGACCATTCTATCATAAGAATTAACGTGCAGACATGCGGGTGGCCATCTGTCAGTCAATTACTTGATTACATCGGCTACCCGCATCTACTGTGTTCCAGAGTCTAAGATAGCTGCTTACCAAAGAATGATGGCGTCTATTTTGGGAAAAATTCATCCAAACTGTCTAAATCTTGGTGTGCAGCTACATCAAAATATGACGAACAACTGATAAGCGTCTGAATATGAGACCAGGGCCAAATAACACCAATAGATCAGTGTCTCGTGTAATCCCCAGAGGAGTGCAGCAAAAATTGACCGGTTCATTAGCGTAGACAAATTTGGTGTTCTATTGGCGGTCCGTCATCGCGTAGGTCCGACACAACCAGAGAGGTAGAGTGAGTGTAACCAAGACGACAACACTGCAGTGTCTGGGATAACTGTTTGAGCAGCCAACCTGATTTTCTCACCACAGAGGGCGTGAACATAAAATTTTTACGAAGCAGCTGGGTAACAGAAAAATAGGAAGAACGACAGTGTGTGTGTGTATTTGAAAACACATTGACACTCTTTGCTAACTGAGATCATATGTGACTCAAATGGAATGGGAGTCCAACTCCATGCGGTGTGCCAGCAACAGCGGAGAACAAAACCCCTTGTGCATCGCGTTGCACGACGCTGGAATATTGCTGCTTCGGATCCGCATGTCAGACGCCGCATAATGCACCACTCGAAAACCTGGTTCCTACTGGTGTAGAAATCTGAGGAAGAAACCGCAAACTACAAGCCAGTTTTGGAGAGTGCGGACAGTTGGCTTGGCGGAAAGCCACTTCAGAATATACGCTGAGTGCCTATCTCCATCCAAGCGGGGAAATCAAATGTTTTCCACTGTGAGGGATCGTTCACCAGGTGTCATGCAATTCACTGCGATTAACGGGTGTTGCGTCTCCAATGGATAATGGATAACTTTCGACCATAGAGTTTAAACTACCGAAAATACATACCCCGGTGCGTGAACCGCATGCACCAAAAGTGCTAAAGGCAAGCTTGGATAAACCTTAGTATATGGTTGCAGAGGAGTGAGTAAACCTCGAACTTCAGTAAAGCTGTGAAACATCACACAAAGACAGGTCAGCGTATCATTGCTTCAATGTGTGCATTCATCAGCTACGACCCAAAACTCATCAAAGACAACATCATCGGCGACCCTCACTCTTTATCCACGCATACAGAATAGTGAGCTAGTGAGGTCATTGCAGATGACATGAAAGCTCAGGTGAACCGGATGACTGAGAGAATAAGATCCAGGGGACCGTTGTTCCGGGATCGATGTTACTCGCATCGATACAGTGGGTTACTGTGTGTGGTTTACAAATTCACAAATTGCAAATGTGCAATTTTTATCCTTATTTCCTACCCCTCACCATAGGTACATATTTTATTTTGCCTTCTTATGCCCTTTATGCACAACTATGAGGATTATAAAGTACGACCGTGACATTTGTTTATTTGCACCAATGTGGTTAACATAAACACGGTCCTAGTGGATCATAATCCCACACTTCACCGTCGACGTGCTGGCCGCTGCTGTCCGTCTCCCCGCTGCCCCCCCTTTTCTGCTGATCGAGAAGACAGACTGCTGTGATTGTGTCGACTCACTGTTGAGTAACGTCTACAAACCTAGTCGTAATTCATTTATGTGCAGTTAAATTTGCTGTTATAGAACCACGGTTATGATTTCCGCTACATCGAATTTTACTCATTTTGTCCTAGGATTAAAGCCGTGCGTGAGACTAGGCTTATAGAGTGCAATAGTTCATCTACTAGCACTTACACTGTATACGAACTACACTCTTGGTCGCAGTAGAGAAGAGCTCCAGAACAAATGTGTCACCTGGCGCAAAATAAACAGTACATTATCCTGGGTGCAGAGATTAGCCACATTGACATTAGTTACTGGTCTGCACATCAGTGCAAGATTGTCGGTCCATTCAAAGCAACAAAGCATTCTTCGAGTAGGAGTTAGCTGGCGTCCATAGAGTGATTATCCTCACGGTTTCAGTACTACACTCATGATTGCTCATTCGTCAACCGGGCCCAGTTCGCCAAAGAGCGTTTTAAGGTAAGTAGAGATGCTGGCTACCGCTGATGCATTATCCGAACTCCAACTTGAGTTGCCTCCAAACAGCCTACAGGAAGACGGTTGAAGTCTTTAAGGTGACAAAATTACGAATGCTTGTGTTACCTCGATTGACTTCAGACGTGAAAGATGGTTCCGTCGGATTTAGTGTGCCAGTAACACTGTGAAACGACGCTTGAATACCAGCCTCAGGATTCAGTGAAGGAATAGGTGGATGATAAAAGCCGGCGAGATGGTGAAGGTCAATGCGGCTGGGAATGACAGAATACTGTTTCGACTGATTTGGCATGCAGATTCAAGAAAAGACTTGGATTAGTAGATAGCCCGAGAAAAAGGGCTACTGGTGTAACAGCTGGCAACCCGTCGGATTGCAAGTTTGATGGATAATTGTAAGTAAAAACCAGGCAGACTTGAGGCAATGTCATCATTTCATGGATCACCCGAACTAACCTAGGACGCTGACATAATGCTTTTCGAGATCGAACAACTTTGACAAGTAATGACGCTGTCGAAACGAAACAATGAGTCATGGTCAGACAGTCGCGCAACTTTGTAACAATTAGACTGCTGCGGGCCGTTTTACTCCACAGTTGATGGGAAAGTCCCTTCGAGTACCGGTTGCTGGGCAATGCTACTAATGAGAGCAAACAAAGCCAATGGAAAGGCCATGTCAGCGACTCCAAACGACGCACGGATGTCGTATTGCAGTGACCCATTGCGCACCATGAGAGTCGAAAAACAACAACAAGCAGACCGGCATCATCATCGGTAGCTGATTTATAGTGTGTTCACGCAGATACGTTTACATTTCGCAGGAGGTAAGAACAGGATCACAAATACAGAAGACCTCTGACAGCCAAGTTTCCCGCCTTGGTCGCCGCTGCTTCCGATACCATTCATCCCTGAACAGTGTACTAACAATTTGCTTTATCATTCGAAAATTTGTATTATTAGTATTATCTTCTAGGCGGCGTTTTCATCACAAGTGGAGTACGGCGGGAATGCTCTTCATTTCATCTCCTCGTAAATATAGTGCTTGAAGCTACCAGATAAAATACGACTGTTTCAATAGTACCATTGCAGAAGCTGAAACATGGCACTGGGCACTCTATATGTTGGGTTCCTTCAAGGTAGCACGGTAGGGTGTAGGAGTTGGTCAATGACCCACAGTATCACCGGACAGTGGGGTTTGAAGAGAGATTCAACCGCCAAGTAGCTCAGATTTCTGTAGACACAATCATTTTGTGGATACGGGGAAGCAGAGCTTTTAAATAGCGACCAATCCTTGATGTGTTGAATGTGTCCAGCCTAAGAATTTAGTATCAGCTGGTGTTATATACCCGCATCCATTTCCACGACTACAGGACCTATTCACATCACCTTTAGCACCACAAATGCACCGAGGAACCTGCTTCACTTGCTAAACTGGTTCTCCGGGAGTTTATAATATTCAACTGAGGGCGCTGAAACTATCAGCGACAACGATGGCCGAGTCCTTAGTGTGTTTCTTAAAACAGTGCTCCGGTGAACAAGCGGTGAATAGTATTCTGAAGCGAGATTTACTTGATGAAGTTCTTAAAGGCAGCAATCGTTCAGAACCCGCAAACTAATGCTCAGTGGTCCCCCTCACTGTGATCTCAACGGCGATGGAAACCATAATCGGTGACAATTTAGTTTACCGTGTATAAAGCTGTGACACATGTCACCGGAGTATTACGGTTTCTAACAACACCGGTCATGCGCTTCCAATCTACTGAATGATCGTGATATTTGGACAGAAACGGAGGACAGAGAAATAGGGGCCGATGTGGTTTACCGCGACTTTTCCAAAGTCTTCAACCGCCTGGATCACTGCATCGTTATTCATAAACTTCTGTTATAGCTTTAGCGATCCTGAGGTTTGGTAAATCGGGAATTCCTTGCAGCTGCGGTAACTGCTGCTCTGAGTTCAGAGTACCTTGTCTGATCCAATCCATGTCGAGTGTGGAGTTCCGCAAGGGTCCGTGCTAAGGCCGTGCCCATTTTTGTCTTATAAATGACTCTGGCCATGTGATCACCTCAGATTCCTTTCATTTCTCTTAGGACATAAATATGTGTTGCGCGATCGACCACTCTACAAGGAACTACTGAATGATACGCCGTATACAGTTGCTGTTGTGGGAAGCCGCGAATCTAGGGACCAGCCTTATCCTCTGTAAGGTTTGTAACTTATATGACGGGAAGACGAGCAATGCGCTTAATCGCAGGTAAACCGTAAGTAATGACAGTTCCCCTTTCCAGTGACACACTGGCATAACTTGATGGCTAGTAGCGCAAGCCGCTAATGTCGGAAGGTCGTGGTTGCGATTCCAGATGCAGCCGAAGTATGAGCACTATTGATGAGTCCCGCTAAGACGAAACAACCGGCTAATTTTCGTAGAAAATGTAGAAGACCATCTGCTACAGAAAGCATTGCGAAGGACCATCAATTAGCTACATCAAAATCCCCACTTACAAACAATGCAAACCGTGTCTTTTCAACTTAATCATAACAAGAATCCAAGGGGCCGTCGGCCTAAGTTGCGCGCGAAATATAGACGACCACAACGTCACCGGAATCTTGTCGCTCTCCGTGTGTGCCAGGAATGGTACGCTCTTTCTAATTACATCGTTTCTGCATTCACATTATTCGTATTCAAAGAAAGCCTGGTAGCTGTCCAAACCCATCGCCGTTACGAAACAGCCAATGTGCAAACAGAGACAATAGGACGTGAGGAACGGAGCGGCCATCGGTTTCCCACCGTACAATTAACCTAGACAACTTTATGTATGTTTTCGTGTGGATACTGTCCTCAGTCAACCAAAAGATTGCCTTATTTTGTTACAGCTTTTTCCAGTTTGTGGTCGATTTGCTGGTCACATTTCGAGATTCACTAAGCACTTACTTCTTTAACCGCAATAAATCACTGTTCCACTATTTCATACCTACTTATCGCTCAGCGGCAGTGAGATCAGCGTTAGGAAATGAAGTTGAGAGACACGCCACTGCGTGTTTCAGACCCTAAATGATTGATCCGCTATGATCAACTGTATCTTCAAATTTACTTTCAGATTTGGAGAAACAACCGAGTAAGAATTATCGAGGTCCGTCATTTGGGGTTGGGTGACAAACTCTGGTGTCACGATGGGATGCTGGCAATTCCTTGACCGCTTACATAGGTTTGATCAAGGTCTGATAACCTTGCGGTGTGGTGTACGTTGACAGCGCATTTTACTGTGCGAGATCTCGTGGTTGTCAGTAAAAGGCACGGGAAGAAAAGAGGAAAAAGCCGAAGCACGCGTCCATACTAGGCGTAAATCATTGTCCTGGGTTGGGTATCAGTGTTTAGATACGTTAACCCGCGAGGATTAGTCTCAATTTGTTTTGCTCTTGTTATATGAATTCCTACCTGACAACACCCAACAGTTGCTTCCTTTTTGTCATACGTTCTTCACGTCTCCAGCTGTCATTGCTGTTGTCGGTTGATTTACGCCTGTCCTCCCGTTGCAGTCTTGTTCCATGGCTTGCCGCAACCTAACTCCCAGCCATGCTCGACTCATAGGACCAAACTGAAAGCTATTTGTGTCATACGATGGATGTTGTTAACCTGACACGTCTGCCACTGCAGGCATAGTGAAGAAAGAGATACTTCAATATCGTCTTGGGGTGTCCCTATAGGGGAGTGCAAAACATTTTCGTTGGTTTGCCCTCTGCGTCGTGGAATTTGTTTCGCCATCAACAGACGGCGATGGCGTTCCGAGTTGTTGGGCTTCGTCAGTGAATCAGTACGTCAGGCGACGATGTGAGTCAAAGATAAATAAAGTGCTGTTATGAAACAATAAGTGTCTTCTCTCTGTGTACGTTGTAGCAGAGCATGTAGAAGCCAAGCGACTAGCGCAAACTAAGCAACATGAGCACCTCTTACACACAGGAGAAAGACCGCGCATCGAGCACAGGTAGTCTGAGAAACGCTGACCTGCAGAGGGACACAGAGGATGGTAAAACGCAATAAGGGATCAATAGTAAAACAGTACCTTGTATCGATGCCTAGCTGCCACGGAACCGTAGGCGCAAATGCACAGGGTAGAGCACGGTGGAGATACGGAAAACCATGAAAAAGCAAAGATATGACCTCCAAAGGGTGATGGTTGCAAACCAAACACCTGAACGAGTACAACACGTAGCTCCAAAACAGGAGATTGTACGAATGCAGGGGTGAAGTTGATCGACCGACCGAACACAAACTTCGATGATTGCGGCAACTAGAGTCGAAAAACCAATTGCTCAATGGCAGTAGGAGAACTCAAGTTAATGGTGCTCAGTGAGACTGTGGCTCAGAACAACACCGCGAAAGTTCTCTAGCAACGAAGCGAGTCACCTAGCAGTATTGTCCCCCACAGGGTACCGGCTAACACTGATGTCGGTTCGCACTAAAAATAACTCTTTATTGTTATGTGGCTCACCTTGTACAGGATAATGGGCGGATGAAATGGGAGTGAATACGGTTTAGAAGAAATCAGCGACTCACCTCAGTGGTTGCTTCTACCATGGCATTGTTCTTGAGGAGTAGCTCGACTATCTTGACCCGGTTTTTCTGCGCAGCAACGTGCAATGGAGTGAATCCATTCTAAGGAAAAGGGAAATATCAATCAATTTGACAAATGGATGTGAAGTCTCAGATGTTAACGACGAGGTGACAGGCAAATCATACACCTGTTGTGTAGCTCCATCGCAAAACATTTCGACTGACCAACCAACCAATTCCATATTACATCTGAGGAGCTTGTTGTGTATTACTAAATCTAATGATTAACGGAGTACGGGTGGGTAATTATCACTTAGTTGTTCCCTAGCAGCGCTTGATGCTCCGATACGCTCTGAGAAAACTGATGAATTAAACTTGTGGAAGACTACGGGTGATCGAAAGTAACCCGGGGTTGACTCACACACATACACACACTGTACACGTTAGCTAGAAGTGGGAAACACCTCAGCTACTGTGGTGCAATACCTAAAAGAAAAGAAGGGAATAAAATGCTACATGTGCAAGTCAGCTGAGCTACCCGTAACGGATGGGCATCGTTCCGGAAAGATAGCAGCCGGCTACTATGCAGCAAAAAAGTAATTTCCTTTGCAAAATTATAAAATTTTAACAAATGAGATCGTGGTTGGAGGGGGAAGCTAAGAGGGATGGGGTGGGACAAAGAAACGCACAGCACGAACGCCACTGAGGTCGGCTCCTAGCCATATCAACAAGTGTATCCAGCCAAATGTGTTCATCGTCTTTCGGACCCCAACCAGGGAGCCGAGACGCACCAACTGAGGTCAGCTTCGAAGTGGGGGCCTTCATTCCTCTCGACCAAGTCATCGCTTGGCCACCTCTCCTCTTCTTCCATCCACACCCCCGGCGCGCAAACTACGCATATCAAGGGAGTCGGTGGGCTGGCATGCGTAACATGTGGCCGAGCCATCGGAGCTTGGTGCGTGAAATTACGGTGCTAAGCGGTTCATTGCTTTTTCCTATGCCGTAAACAAGGCGTCGAACACGCATGTTGCTCACGTGGTGTTTCCACCAGATGCGAGCCAAATTGCGAAGGCACCGGTGCTCGAACGCAACTAGCCTCTTTATGTCCGCTGATCTAAGGGGGCCAGGTTTCACAAGCGTCCAGTAGGGTCGAACGTACCACTGCATTGTACACTCTACCTTTCAGGGCGAGAGTGATGTCGCGCCGCCGCCATAAGAGGCGAAGGTTAGCAAAAGCGTCTCGAGCTTTTGCTGTACGATTCGTGACCTCATCTTCAATCCCACGGGAGCTGATACAACTTCTTAGGTAGTTGAATTTCCGAACGGCTTCTAGCTGATCCCCACAAAGGTTCAGAGTAGGAGGCGGTCCAGGCCAATCTTGAAGGAACGCTTTGCACTTCGAGGGTGCGAAGCAAAGCCCGAAGCGGCTGACGCATTTTGAGCTGTTCTCTTGTCTTGTTAGTATGGTGTTAGCTGTACCGAGGACCATTGTCGCCAACCCATCTATGTCTTCTCTGTGGGTACATGTTTCCCGATTGGGGGCGGCTTCGTTGCCATGCTTCAGTGTTACAACAAAGGCTGTGGGCAAAAGTTTGACCCAGCTACGAATAGTTCTGGTGGGATTTTATTTTCTTCTTATTGGTTGACGCTAGGTGCATGTCAATACCATCCTGGTCAGCCCATTTTTCACGACGCGAAGAAAAAGTGGTCTTGCTGTCAAAAGTTCAGTACCGACTTCTCCGAATTTCTTAGCATCAAAGGCTGCACTAAGGGAGAACACAGTAATGTTTGCCCAGTCGAAGCTAGAGACACCAACTCGTCCGTTTCTGCGCCGGTGGTAAGCTCTTGCTGTATCCACATTGGACGATTCCTCTGTCGCCACTCCTTTCTTAACATTTTCTGCCCCATGGTTGTTGACTATTTTATGTTACTTCTTTAATCACCCCTTGTGATTTATCCTTATTGTCAAGTACATTTACGTTTGCAACATAAGTTGGAATGTTGTCGTTGGATTGCTAAATGTGATGACCGATGCGGATTGATCAGTGTTCCCTGAATGAAAAATAATCGCACGTGATACCTTCCGGTGACCAGTTCATATGCACGTGTAATCTAATTTTTTACCGTGTGTTCTTTGAAGCGGAAGTTGAAATATCAATTATTATCGTTTGTTTTACGTTTCAGTGGTTTCCAACGTTGTCTTTTGGTGTTGTAGTGCCTTGAGATGGTAACGTTTGTGCTCTGTCTTCTACATCTACGTGTCTCCTCTGGTTCTATTGACATCCATCTAACAGGTCAACTCATTGTCATAAAATCGTTTCAGCTCCTTTTCGTCAGCGGTGTGCTTATTTCCGTTTGAACTTTCAATTTGACCTTAATTGTTCCATCAAACGAATGTATGTAATACCTCAATTGAGGCTCGGGATGTGGGTTGTTATCGGCTTATTTTCAGTTTCAGTGGCTGTGTTATCTGACCTGTATGTTCTCAGCCAATTCATTTACACTGCCTAACCGTTCATCGTTAAGTGCGTTATTTCAGCAGTAATAGGCATTGTCTTTTATGCATTTATGGTAGTCTGCTACTGAGATCTACCACAAATTTCACATTAGTCAAAAGTAGTGGCACATGGCTGTGCATCACCACACAGTGTATCCAAAACGACATTGTCACGGTTGGTACAGTATCTATTTAAGACGCATCTGACTATTCTCTACACCTAGACATATTGTTTTACTAATACGTCCTCGGTTATTTCGTACTATTTGCACCACTTACATGCAGCTCAACCCCGATTTTCTGCATGAAGCACTGCTTTTCGCCGCTTAAGCGCATATGATAGGTAAGCACATATGACATGAATACCTTTCATAATGGCAGCTCAAATTTTGCTACTCTGCACACCAGTTTTTTAACGTTCAATTACATCCCTTCTAGTCATATGCTGCTTCGCAAACAGCACGTGTTCTCTAGACAAAGCTGAATGGAAATCTAATCTACTCTTTTACTTCCGTTTACTCCGTTTACTTCCGTTTACTTCCGTTTACTTCCGTTTTACTTCCGTTTACTTCCGTGGTTCATCATTTGTTTCGTACCAATATTACAAGTGGGTAATCACCTGAATGACAGGTACTCGCAATCCGTTAAGATACCACAGTTTGGTTCTTTTCGGTTGGACAACCAAACACTTATCGGCCCGGTCACCGTTATTATCGCCACCATGATAACTGTTCAACGACGGTTGGATAGAGGAAACAAAAAATTCAAAAATTCGCAGAGGTGGCCAGAAAAGAAAATGGCTACCAAATGGGTGCGTTAATAACAGGGCAAATCTGAATCTACGACGACGTCTCCAGCCAAAGTTCACATGTATGACAGTGGTATTCCCTGGTATTAATCGTCTGTCCTCTTCCTTTAGATTTCTAGTCTGAAGATTGCGAACAGCTATCTCTTTTTCTGGGAGGGATTTCCACTAGGTAGCCGACCGATGAGTTTCGAACACTTGAAAATTAGCTTCCGTATGGTTTGACCTTGCGCAAGTGCTTTTACACTAGCTGGATCACGACGATGCATACTTCGGTTTGTGCTCCATATTTTTTTAATCCTAGGTGTCCTTGCGCGACTTGATCAAAACGACCTTGTCTCAAACTTACGGAACAATTTGAAGCGGTCGACAGGTTCACTTATCTAAGTATTCATAACATCACATGGTCAAACTGCATGCAGTGTTACTGCGCAATTCATTGAGCTCTGCCGTATCTCGACTTCAACTATCAGCCGTGGAGTGTGCCATGCTACCACTCATCTAGTATTAGCTTATGGACTACTTCGCACCAGACATTAGGAAACTAACCATTTTTGATCCCCAAGACCCATGAAATGTTCCATATGTGACGATTCCACCAAAATCTCATCACTTGAATTGCTCATCGCAATGCAAGCTACGGCAGGTGCTCCAAAACCCGAAAATCAACTCCTAACCGTTGTGTCAAGCGCTGCTCGCGGAGCTCAGTGGCCTAGGGATCATGGCGATAGCCGCCAAGCACTATGTACGGAGTTCCACTCCCAGATCAGGTTTTCTCTAGCTGATGAATCCAAACCAGGATGAGACGCGTCGTGAAATGCAGTGATGGGAAACCGCAACACCGAAACCCTCCACCCGTCCGACATTGCTTGTAATTTTGAACATTAATTAATACACCTCGAGACACTGGTATCCTTGGCTCTTTTGTTCTTGCACTCTGTTCTTCCATCCCCATTTGTCCTTTCCCCCATTATCCTTCAGCTGCCCGCTATTACTATCAGTTTAAGCTACCTCGATGGGACTGAAACTTAACGTGGTACGTCAGTTTAAATATCGCTTTGGCCCAAGTATGTGTGCTTTGCTGACGTCATCGAGCTCTTTTAGAGCTACCCTCGTTATATTGATCAGCGGTTAGAGATAAAACAGATTGTTTCGTGAACTTCCACAGGTAGTACCCGGTCAATTGGTATGTACCAATTGTTTGCACCCATGTCCTGGGAAGGCGAGGAAAGTATCAGCATTGCGCTGATACGCAGTACTGACATTTCACTACTACACAACCGCCACCGGTCGCGCGGGGGCTAAGGATACTGCGAGGATCGCGCGATCCCCTGCGCATGCTCGAACTCGCGACCTCCAGATTGCAAGGCAAGCGTATGATGCTTTCGGCCACGGGCTGGCGTCAGGTCTTAGGAGACCCTGTCTAGGTTTTGAATGTCCTGACAGTGTCCAACTCCCGTACGACCATGTACTTCGAATCAGACTTCAGCCGTTTTAATCGGTACCTTTCCATATGCTTCATGTTCATTGTAAGAAACGTCTTATGATGTACTCCTTTCACTAAATATCTTAGATAAACACGTTCAGTCCTGGTCATTTCAATTAAACAACTATGATCCGGGTACCGAATTGTGATGGATCCAGTTGCCACGACTCACGTCATCAGGTTAACAACAAATAACAACGGTAACAAAGTAACGTTGAAAGCTAATAAAGTACAAAGAAATGGGGTCGAGAAAGAAGCGCGTTAAGCTACTCAAGATGAAGTGAAAATTAACAGCTAGATCCTACTAGCCGAATGCAAGTGCGCCACTGACTGCGTAACTGCGCTGTTTCTCAGATTCTCCAACCAATGATGTGGAACACCCTGAGGCTCCTATCTACAAAGGCAGCAAGCACTAGCGTGACTAAGTCCCTCAGTCATTTGCTTCATGCCACATCACTGACTAGCCACCTCGCGGTTTCGCATAACTTGGTGCATCGACGGCGTATATAATGCACGCCGGGGAAGTCGGTAAACGAGCACACAGCAAACATGTGTTGGCTATCGTAAGCGGTTTGGCTTTAGAAAACACTCGAGTCAGGCACCAGAAGACTTTTTGCCAGAAACCAATTGATGGACTACAGCATCCCTTACTCGGTGTTCCCACCAAACTTGAGCAACACTCCACAAGCGCGAGTGATCAAACACGGCAAGCGTTTAATGTCTTCAATGCGAATTGGCCAGGTCTCATTCGTACAGTAACACCGGCCTTAACCCGGCGTTATGCACCCTTCCTTTCACTGACAAACTGAAAACCTGCCGTTTCCATAGCTAGTTTAGCATCTGGAAATGCACACATGCCTTGTGGATACGCGAAGTGACTTTCTCGGTGATGTGACTACCAGAGGCGACACAGCTACCGAGGTAAATGAGCTAATCCACCACTCCCAGCGAGTGTTCGCTGAAAGCTGGAGCTGTTGGCCTATCGCTACGCATCGTTACACAACGCTACGCACTAACGCACTGATGATATCACCTCGACTGGTGATGAAACGTTCGCAAAATAATTATCAAGCTCAGAGAACAGTTCGTCTAACAAATGAACAACCTGAGCTACCCACATTTCTATATCATGTCGAATCTCTTCCAATGTACTAGTTGTGACATTAACTTCCTACGTGGGCTTAACTGATTTTGTCAGTTTCGTAACAGGCCTACTGAATTGCTCTTCAAATGTCCCGCCCGACGAACAAGTCGGCGCGACTAAGAATAGATCCAATGTTCATCTTTTTTCAATTATTGTCTCAATAAATGAGATCCTTCTTGGACCTGTTTTCTGGATGAGCTGGGACAGCACTCCGCCGTCCCAAATAGCACTGTCTTTCTCCATTCACGAGCCCTTGCCAGCTACCAACGTTCCCGTTCAATTCGAAGACTTCTTGTCAGTCGTCGTTTAAGGGCGTTGCGGACACGCTTGAACACATTACCCGACGGGAACTGTTTGTATGCTTAGATCAAACTGATCGGTACCCCAGAGATCCCTTCACAGTTGGGGCGTCCCAACTTGGGGATATAGCAGGCGTCGAAAGTATTCTTCACGGCACATCAGACGATTCCAGTCAGTGTTCTACTCACCCACCTCATTCATTATTGACAATTTATGTGCCAGCTCATCATTCTATTGCTGAACTGAGGATTACAATTTCAAGTTACAAGTGAGTAACATGGAAGTCAGGCGCTTTTTGAAGCGGGAAGAGTGAGTGCCAGGCGTGCGGGCACTATAGCAAGATCGGAATCCAGACACGGACTCCAGGTTGATCGACGGTCTTCGCTTGATGTATACAGTCTATTGTTCATGTTTATATTTGGGCCCATATCATTAAAAAATTTGGTCGGTGCTGGATGACACGATGTAGACCTTTGTGCTGAAAAGTAGTGCTGTCAATATAAAGATCATGGTCGGCACAGTTGTAGGAATCAATCGCTATTGGTTATTCGGGCTGTATTTACCCCGAGGTGGCCCAAAAGATGATCTACTTGAGCGTTCGCATC